AGGCCTGGCGTCGAGGACAAGCTTACGGACAGGGCCTGGTGTTGAGGCCTGGCGTCGAGGCCGCGCTTATGGACAGGGCCTGGTGTTGAGGCCTGGCGTCGAGGCCGCGCTTATGGACAGGGCCTGGTATTGAGGCCTGGGGTCGAGGACAAGCTTACGGACAGGGTCTGGTGTTGAGGCCTGGCGTCGAGGACAAGCTTACGGACAGGGCCTGGCATCAATTCAACATTTACTTTCTTCCCAGCTATTAGGGAGATGGAAGATTTTACAATTTCCATTGAACCCCACCCTCCACAAAGGAGACTGACACTGCTGGTCAGCCATTATCGATAAAAAGTCATGCGGTTTGAACGTCCAAAGGGGGCTTCTTCAGAATGACATATGACGTGTGCATCAGCTGAAAAAGCCATGCGGTGGGTTTCTCACCAACCACTGTGCGGCTCCAGAGGCAGCTTCCGGAGTAACCCTGGCTGAAGCTGCGTTCACACTACCGTGCATTCAGTGCTGCTTCTGCTGGACCTTCTCAGTGGAGCTTCTGGTCCCTCCGCCCATAACAGGACTCAAGCCAGCCATCAGTATCCGTTTAACATGCACTGAACCCACCACTGTTCCTCCATAACCTGGACTTTTACGATTAAGTCTGCTGGAGGAGGAAGAGGGTGAATAATAATAAAGGTTGCATGGAACGAGGTTTACGTTCAGCTAGCATGGTGTGTTTTCATAGTCAAACAGCAAAGGCAGCTACAGAATATTGTACCAAAAGAGCCAGTGTTTCAAGGGGCAGTGAGCAGATATGAACTGGATGGTGGGGCTTCAATTATTCACTCAGCAGGGTCTCTGGAGCATGAGGAGGTCTACAAAGCTGGAAAGAAACCTCCAACTGAATAGGTCGCCCTCTGAGTAGGAACCATCAAGGGGGCTGTCACTCACTCCCAGGGATGGGGAAAAGCCAAAAACTTGGTTTATGGGCAGCCTGGTGAAAATGACAGAAGTCCAAGAGGGTTCACTTAAGAGCAAGATATTGCCAAATAGTGAGAAGAGTGAGTCTGCAGTGATACTGCACATGTTTACCGTCGACTGTCACGTAAATGACAAGAGCAATGCTCTGCTTTCCCTGTCTGCAGGTACAGAGAGGAGCATCTGAAGGTAGGGGTGCAGGGAAGGAGGGGCAGAGCCTGCAGGGCGCAGTGGCCGGGGGCAAAGCGGGGGCTGAAGCACATGCTCTGAGAGGGGGCCGGATCACTGTCCGGGGAGGCAGGCAGCCCGAGAAGGGGAATGCGTTAGCACACATCACAGCGACCAGAGACACGAGGCGGCTGACAGGCACCTCCCACCCCTCCCACCGCCTCCGGGCTCGAGTCTCGGAGCCAATCGTGACCAACCTGAGAAGCATCCAGGCCAGCTCTGCCAGGCGGAGCAGCTCCTTCCCCGAGGCTGTCAGGACACTAAATACCCTGCTGCCCCCCCACCCCCCCAGCCTTGCACTGCTCACTTTAACTCTTACACTTACTGTTATCTCTTTATTATTCATTTTTAGCCACTATATGTTTAAGCCATTCCGTTATGCGTTAAAACACCTACAACCCGCTTTACCTGGTATTTTCGAGTGCAAACCCTCCCCCCATCACTCTCTGCATGTATGACACACCGCGCTCCTGGGGCGGACACTACTTTGTGGCACTGTGCACCTGCATATGGACAGCATGACAATATACCCCCCTGACTTGACTTTGAGCGTCCCTGTGTCCCCCAGGACTGTGACAGCTGTGATGAGCCTCATGCAGAGCTCGCTTCACCCAGAAACACAGTGAGTCACCGCCAGCGCTTTTCTCTCCCTACAGCCACTAACCGAACCACAATCATCGCCGCTGCCTCCAGCCTTCACTCAAATTCCACAAAAGTGTGTTTTCTCACTACATAAAATACATCAGGCTCCAAAGCGCTTTTCCACAAACTACCGTAATTTCAGACATTTCCCATTTCTAATAACTATTTACTGTAAAATCCCAGTTTACAAAATCTGAGAGAGCGACAAAACTATATATGCAAAGTAGGTTTGGGGGTGCTGGCTGGTCATGGGGTCCATATTAAAGGAAATCTCCACAAATCGATTCCAGGCAGCTACTGTATGTCCCAAACACACTTAACACGTTTCAGTCACATGATCTCCATCCAATTACTCCCCCCACATGTCATTAATAGCCCTTCACGGCGTCCATTGTACCCCCCCCCCACAAACCCGAGCCCAGCTTGATTTGCAGCATGGGGAAAAGCCGGTTCCGTGTCCAGGGTCCGACATCCTCGCTCTGGCTGCCCGATCGGCGGGACGCTGGCCCTGTTTCCGTAAGGGGGTGTGCTTCATCTCCCCAGATGACCTCCACAGCGGCACACTTTCCTCTGTAGAATGTTCCAGGGCCGTAAGCAAAGAAACCTCCATTGAATAGGTGGTGATACAGGAAACAGGGCTAAGCGTTGGAGTTAAGGCTGCCTCTAAGCTCAGTAAAGCCAGTCATTCTTTGTCTAATCTGATATGTATCCTATGCTATGTGATGTTTTCATAGTGTCATGTTATGTCACCTCATGTCACGTAGATTGACAGACACTCTCCCCTCTGTCTCCCCTCCCCTTAAATTATTGATAATTGTACGGTATTTTTTGCACTCTGTAAATCACCTCACAAACACTGTCTTTAGCCCTGAAATGTCTGTCCAGTCATGAATGCTGCACCTTGGGTCCTGGAGGAATGTTATTTTATTTTGTTATTTCTGTTCTGTGCAATAAAACTTTACTTGCTTCATGTCTATAACACCGAAGGGAGGGTCACTAAACCCCATCTTTACCGTGTAGACGGTCTACACCGCATCCATCATCAGACCAGATCGGTATCCAGGCAGCTGTTTTCATAAGACGGATCTATTTAAGAGCGTAGCTAAGTAACATTTAGCACCTCTCTCCCGCTTTCATATATGCAGTATACACTAAAGACCATCATTCAGCGAACAAAGCACAACATTTGTTGCGCTAACTTAAACAGCAGATTTCCATTCCTGCCTGTCTAGCCAGATGATTCACTGCAGGTGTGAAGGCCTCAGAAAGCCAAACAAAGTCCTCCCATGAAAAATGTCTCCATCCCCAGACCACACAATGGCGATTCCGCGGGTGACCCTGGAGGCCGCGGGTGCAGAAGGGCCCTCAGCACCTGTCACTGCTAATGAATTCCAGTCATTCCCCTGCCAGAGGCCCAGGGTCACTGGCCGACATCCCTGCAGTGCCCCCTGGGACGGCCGTGAAATCAGGGACGGGGGTCGGAACTAAAATCACGGCAACTTTGCACGTAGCATTTCTGCCAGGATGACTTGCATGCTAGACAGAAAATTGGAGAATAAATCATAAGCATCATACCTTGTCTCCTGTCTCCCCCTTGTGCCCCGGAAGCCCCACTGGACCCGGCAAACCCTGCTCTCCCTACAAAGCAGGAACACAGAGTTACTCGTGTCTCCTCCATTAACCCCAAAGCATCAAAAACCTGACATGCCCACCTCTCACTAAAGCCTGGCACGGGTCATCTGAGACGGAAAACACCGTCGCTCATGCCAAGGCTGTGCCTTGGAGGCAGCTGCCCGCCCCCCCGGCAATTATGCCAGGGGCTCATCGGGTAAATGTGCTTTAATGCCGCTTTATTCTGCATGGAACACACAGTCCTCGGCTTGGTTAGGGAATAATTACTGCAAAACGGACGTGCCTTCGCCGACGGACACTGGCATCTGTCGCTGGACCGCTGGATTGGCTGGGAGAAGAGGCTGGGGATGAGGCTGGTGGCTGGCGGGGGGGCCGTCGCACACTGATGGGGAACATGCTGACCGTTAAAAACAGCTCCTACCCCCCTGAGGAACAGTGTGTCACTTAGCAATATCCAACCCCTTATATGGTGTTCATTTAAACATTAAGTTAACTGGTGTCCCATCCAGCCTGGTGCCCTCCCCCAATCCTGACCAGAAGAAGCAGTTACAGATGGATGGATGGAAATATGCATAAATATGTCACATTAAATCATTACGCTATATTTATATGAAAGTATTTCATTTAAAACTTTGCTTACACACCTCAGCAGCTCTGAAACGATTGATTTAACGATTGACGTTTTTTTTTGACAGTATGCTGAGTACTGCTGCCATACGAGTATTATAAACACTTACAAATCATAAGGAATTTGTTTAGTACAGCTGATGGGAATCAGAAGCCGCACGTTTTAGCCGACGCCCCCTGCTGGCAGAGGGCCGGTGCTGCTGTCTGTAGATACGATAACCTCCAGTCTAAACACCATTCGGTAGTGACGGACAAAATGGCACTTCATGAATCATTTGATGTATTTTTTCACCCTTACTTTCACCTTTGCTTTGTGTCCTTTGTTGAATACGAAGCACCATCCAGTGGGTCAAAAAATACAGAAAATGGTTCACAAAGCGTCATTTTTTCCATCACTACCATTTGGTCTTACAGCCCAGTCGCATGTCCCGTATCCGTGTGGCCCATCTGCACGCTAAACCCGGCACCGGCTACACGCAGGGCCGCCTTGGGACGGCTCACCGTGGACCCCGGGATCTCGCAGCAGCTCTCCATCTCCACGCTCTTTGGGTCACAGTAGATTAAGATCTGCTGCAGCTCGATCTGGGAAAGGGAGGACTGTCAGCACGGTGTTCCTGCTCAGTTCGAGCTAAAGAGGAATCGCAGATTTCCCAGCTGAGAGGGACATGCGGTAACTAACCATGTTTATTAATTAATTAATATTTCAAGATGCTCTTACGAAGACCGTTTATCTCACGTGAGGATTACAGACTCCGAGACGCACGCTTCCCCACACTCACATCCACGGGCCGGCTGCTCTCGACCCGCGTGGCGATCAGCGTCTTTCCGCTGATGTCCACACCGTCCTTGACGTCGGTCAGGCGCCGCTCGATCAGCTTGCAGTCCACATAGATGGACAGGATGCTGGCCTGGACAGACACACTGAGCCTGTGCCACTGACGGTCAAACAGCACCTGCAGGTCGCGGCTGCGGAAGGTGTACTGCAGGTCGCTCTTCAGGGGACCGCGGGCGAAGAACTCCAACACCTTCTTGGCACCGTCCACGATCAGGGACATCTGCATGGACAAGGCAACAGGGAGGGCACAAAACACCTTATGAGATTTAGGTTCAGAGGCATAAGTACAGGAGGTTCTATTAGGAATAGGGTTGGGCTCAGAGAGGGATGGCTGCAGTAAGACATTTTTGTAATAATGAATCTCTTACCTGTGGGGCTCCGGATGCATCAGATATCTGCCAAAGGTACCAGCGGTCCTTTTTGGTGGTTTTCCTGAGCCGGAATGTTGCAGCCAAGGAAAATTCACTGGGGAGCCCGTTGGGAAAGACCAGTCTGGAAAGACCCAGAGTGGAAGCTGAACTTTCACGAAAACCTTGACCACTGTCCATGTTCACCTGTCCTACGCATCCAGCAGTGAGGCGACCCAAACTGGTCAGAGACGGCAGTGAGGGAAGGGCTCAGTCAGGCACAGTGGCCGAACCCCTGTCAGCTTCTGCTCTGGTGAGGATGAGGCCCTCTGACCGAAATCCCAAGGCCAAAACAAACCATTTTTATCATCTAGACAAACAATTTAGGTAGATGAACTAAAAGAGCATCAGGACAGAAACTGCTCTTCATGAAGGCTTTGACATTTCTGCGTGAGGCCAGTAAGGCACCTTAATACTGAGCAAAGCCGTCAAACACAGAAGGCTGGGTCGATCGCACCCCTACAGTCCTGCGGTATTACACGGAAACGCCCCCTCAGGCAGGCATTAAATTTAATTCCCAGAAATCCCATTACAGTAAATCCCACAGATATTGCTGCAGTCTGTCTTTTATGAAGGGAAACAGCCCTCAGTTCAGGCCTTGTGGGAATCTGCTGCCGATGACCTCGGCCTGAGGTGTGCGATCGGCATCTTAGCCATGCCCACCATTTTTATGGCCTAAAAGCATGTAATATATAGGGAATCTTTAGTTAAGGTCTGACAACCAACAAAGGATATATGTACATGTATACATGTATATACATGTATGTATATATATGTTTTATAGATATATATAAAAAAGTATTTGCCCTTCAGACGTATATTTATTCCATAACTTAGGGTCTGGAAGATACAGCCCAAACATTTTACTGAGTACTTAGATAAAAACAATGGCCTTCATTTACGATACAGTACACTCATACAGTATGCTTTGATTTTATGCCAGTTGTGATTTATGTAGCCCCCCTAATTTTGTTTCGGATGCACGAGACTTACAGAAGGGAAAACATATTACTTATTATCGATCCATATCCCTAAGTTATCAGATTAGATAAACTTTGTGCATCCACTTAGGAAAACAATGGTTTTTTTTTTTCTTCAAAATTCATCATAGGTTTTATGTCTCTGAGAAACTGACAAAATACCAACAACCCATACAGATGATTAAAGTGCACCATTAACATACTTTTATATATTAATATATCTTCAGAAACATGGTAACAAACGATCTCTGAAATCTTCAAACTGCTCTTTTTCCCTGACCTTCTCTCAAAACTTCTATGTCCTCTGAAAGCATTTTAAAGGATAAATTTAATTTGTGCTCATGCGGAATAGCAAAGTCGGTCTGTTTGAGTCAACCCCTTTAAGTATTTCCCCTTGTATTTAATTATCTGACATATTAAAAGAACAAATGAATAATTAATTTTTCACTAAAATCGCCCATTCTGGCGCTGACAGCTGACGGAGAGCTGCATGAGGGTGACTGAAAATTAGTTTCAGCTCCAACAGATAATCTCATGTTCTCCAGTGTCCCCTGAATTCAGGGAAATGGGGGGCAACATTGACAGGTTTATTATAATGAAATATGCAGGGAGAGAGAGTCATGTTGTAGGACAGGGATGGCGACCAACACACGGAATGTGGCAGACAGAGTCCCTGGGGACAGTAGACTCTTTCCAGAACATTCATTAGAATTCAAGGACACTGGAATAAGTCCTGGGTTCTGGTGGAAGGACCAGAGCTGTGTGCGGTCAGCCCGGCTGAGCTGAGACTGCTGAACAATCAGCCTTAAGACCAACGCTGCCGGAAAATGTATTCATATGACAGACTTAAGCGGGCAGAGGGTGGCCAGTGAAGACAGACAACAGATTTAGGGGACTTTGAGGTTCTGCTTGAACCTCCAGACAGACGGTAAGTTCACGCAGCATGCTTGCCATGACCCCAGAAAGCTGTGGGGTTAGAGAGCCGCCCCCAGGGTCCCAGCTGCCTCAGCTTTTGGCCCGAATCCAGCATGTGTCACTTACTATTCGTCACGTGTGACATTTTCATCTTAACACTTTTTCCTGAACTTCCAGAACTGCGTGAGCTGGATTTCCACTGGGTACCAAAGCCGATTCGCAAGCTGGGAACTTGTGGTGCGATCGAGAACCAGGTGTCAGACAAATGAGAAAAAAGTCAAGCGGTAACCACAGGAGCAGCCTGAATTGGCCAGTTAACCTTTTAACATGTTTATAGGGGACAGAAAAGCACTTACAACTGCTGTCGTAAATAAGTACGACTCCACTCCTGGCTCAGTGCCATTAAAATCCTTTTCAGGAAAAGGAAAACATGAGGCGTAACTCCCAGTCACAGCCGTGGGTCAGAGCCCGGACGGGCATGTGACAGGACATGAGGGTGTCTGTGAGTTAGGGGTAAGTAAGGGTGTGTACTGTATTTAAAGGGGTATACTCTGGTCAAGGCTATATACCATAGTTAAGGGTACATGCTGCAGTTAAGAGGGTATATTGTAGTTAAAGATAAGTCATGTAGATACGGGTATATTCTATAGCTAAGTGACATCACTTTCTTGGTGTAGAGTGAAAAATATCGCAAGTCAAGGACTCTATGGTTGGCTGACAGCTCTGGCCTCTCAAATGAAATGCTGGGTGTCACTGATGTCCTCTGTGGGGGTGTCTTAAGCTGCCCCTGAGACAGAACACAAGAGGCAGGGCTTGTTGAAACCCATTAATGAGTGAGGAGCTGGAACAAGAGGACGGCCTCATCAAACAGGCGCCGCTCGAATGTGGCTGCAAGCGAGCGGTGGCAGAAGGTCATTCTGGCCTGGAAAATACATCGAAGGTTTATTTTGGAAGCCAGGAACTGAACTAATCCTTCATCTCTTAAAAAGCATGTTCCAGGACAGTGGAGGCTTCCATCTCCGTGTAACTGTATCAATCGGGGCCCAGGGAGCTGGGAAAGATGATCCTGGCTGCGTTTCCTGAGGGTAAAGTGAGAGATGTTTGGAGTTTGTGACAGGGAGCCTTCTCTCCCCAGCTGACGGGCGGTGTCACCTGTCAGGGCGCTCAGATCATCGAGGCTGAGCTCCTGCCTGCTTCCCCTCTCACAAACTGGCCTGAAAAGTGGCTGAATCGGCAGGCCACCGGTTGTGGGCGGTGCCCAGAGTGACGGCGGTCGGAGTTCGCTGGCCAAGGCGCGCACCCCCCCCCTTGAGTGTCCTGCATTGCGCCGTGTGACGTGACTGCTCTAAAAATACAGTTTCGCTTGAAGTGAGATGGAAAACACTCAGAACAGAAGCTTGAACTTCAAAACGAAGGAGCGATGGGCACGACTGCAGAGCGAGCGCAAGGGTTTGTTTGACAACGAAACCTCATCAAATATTTAACTCTCCATTACCTAGATCTATCAACTCTATTGGCAAGCTTATAATGCAACAGTCTCGGTTTATACACAATGTTGGGTAAGATACCTTAATGGCTGTGCAATATAAACGTGAAACACTGTAACATTCCGCATCTAGAGAAGAGCGGGATATCGGCACCATAAATAGACACATCAAAGAAATAATGAAAAGCCAGAGGAAATCAAAGACCCAGCGTGTACGTGCCAGGGCCACGCCGTTGTCACTGCGCTCGTGATTTTTCCAGTGCTATTTCCAGGCCTCTCCGACATTCCCCAGGAATTGCTAGCCCCCTTCATCCTCTGGGCTGCGTTGCCCATCTGTGCGCTCGCCCTCGCCAAACTACTCAATGCATCTCACCTCACAGTTTGCCCTTATTAGTAAACGCAAATGGGATTATCGGCAAGATATACGGGTCACCGCGTGGCAGCCAGCAGAAAGCCAACTTAAGGCTGTTTTTTTTTCCTCCGGATATCGGCCGGAACGCAGGTAAGCCTACACTCTGAGAAAAGGCCACTGCACAGCCCTGAAACCTGAGGCCGGGCTGGCCCTCTGACAGTCTGCTTGGCCTGTACGGGGCATTGACTCATGGGCAGTTTTGGAATCGGTCACTAAGGAGCTGAACACTCTCAGCCATTCGTTACATTTACGTTACATATCGGTATGAATATCATTTACAGTTTATTTATTTAGCAGATGGGCTTTTCCAAAGCAACATATATTATTGGCGAAAACAGGGTCAGCCAAGGCCTGGAGCAGCGGGGGGGTTAAGGGCCGTGTTCAGGGATCCAATGGCGATACACTCTGCTGACCCTGGGACTCAAACCAGCAACCTTCTGATCAAAGACACAGTATTCTAACCTGCTGGCCACACCCTGTCATTTAGGCAGTAGGGCCCACTCTCAGCACCCTCCCTCTTGCATCTGCTACAGCAAAATCTCAAACATGATTCACGGGCAGGAAGCACTCTGAATGCACTGTTAGTGCGTCACAGATCGAGGGAGAGCTAACTGGTTAATGGTGATCAGAGATCATTGCCAGTTGGGACCCTTTTCACACTCGGCAATAAAGCAGAGGCTCATGGTAATGGCACCTGATCAGCTGAGGCCCCAGCCACAGGCACACAGACAGGCTGAGGGCAGTGAGACATGTGCCCCCCCCCGCGCCGGCGGAGTTTGACTCACTCAGTCTGCTTGATGAGCGGCGTACCACCTAGCCTGAAAGTCGCCTGCTCTTCTGTGACTGTCCCTTTACGGAGAAGGAATCTCTCTGTCAGGTCGAACCCTGGGGGGGGGGAGATTTGTCAGCACAGAATTGCGATGCAGCTTCCCCAATTCCCCCCCACCACTATCACGTTATACCCTTGCAAAGGTGAAAAAAAATGTGTTTTTGGGAAATGAATGCGATGTAGAAAGGATATCAATTTCACGCTCTGTTGGCTTTATTTTATAAGGGTGGCTCACACTTGCTACGCAAAGCCAACACACAGACTGCTTACTGAGCCTCTGTTTGGGCCTCACCGGTACATTCTGCACACTCAACCGTTTAATATGAACCCACGGCGGAGAAGACGGACACTCACCCGTGAATTTGTGAAAAGGCCGCAGCTGCTCCAGAAATCGCCGATGCTCGACTTGCAGCACGGGACAGGAATCAGCAGCTAGGAGATCAGCCAGGAGACATTCACTAGTGTTTATATGTAGTGTCACTAGCGTGTATATGTAGGTTCACTAGTGTGTATATGTAGGTTCACTAGTGTGTATATGTAGTGTCATTAGCGTGTATATGTAGTGTCACTAGCGTGTATATGTAGGTTCACTAGTGTGTATATGTAGGTTCACTAGTGTGTATATGTAGTGTCACTAGCGTGT